AATAAAATAAATAAAATAAATAAAATAAATAAAATAAATAAAATAAATAAAATAAATAAAATAAATAAAATAAATAATAAATTAAACCCCAATTTTTAGAATATGCTTACTTTATTAAAACCAATTGAAGCTGTAACAAAATTACTTTCAGCATTATCTTACCCAACCATAGGTGATATCTATTTAGTTTTTTAAGTATTCAAAACTATTTAGATACTTATATTGAAAAAGAAAAATTTTCTCAACATCTCGCTGCCATATCAATTTGTCAAAAATCAAAGAATATTGGGCCATAATAGATGAACCTTCTGTTGTATCAGCTGTTTTTGATCCTCATACAAAATTTCAAATATTTAATAAAGAAAAAGCTACTATCACCAAGAAAATAGTTCAAAAAATTATGAGCCAATATATATATGAATATTAACAAACTTCATCTATCTCTAATAATAAAAAAAGTCTGATCAAAACTACTCAAAAGTTTTTTTGAAAGTGGCATAACAAATTCGAAGCTAAAGAATTCTCAGTTTCTAACTATACTAATAAAGAATCAACTAGTACTAATTAATTAAATCATTACATTGCAATGAAAACTAATTGAAGAAGACACAATCCTATTAGATTAGTAGAAAACAAATCAAAGTACTTACTCAATTCTCTCAAAAATAGCATTAGACTATCTAAGTATTCAAGCAACTAGCGTTGCTTGTGAACAAGCATTCTCTGTGACTAGTAACACTATTTTTAGAACTTATAATCATCTCTATTCTGAAACAGCAAAAGCATGTCTTTGTATTAAAAGTTGAATTAGCAATGAAATTGCAAAATTGAATAAGTGATTATACTTATCTTAGAAAGTATAAAAATGATTAATTGCTATAATAATAAAATAATTTCTTGGTACCATTATAATGAAAAGTGTCATTAAATAAAATATTAGTTAGCCTCATTTTATAAGATATTTTAATTTTGCTATAATAAAATCTCTTATTATTTTATTATTATTTTCGGAAATTATAAAGTTCCTTATTAAAAAAAAGAAATAAAAACCTTTTCTCAAGACTTTAAAATAAACAAGAGATAGTTTATTCTAAGAAAGTTAATATTTATATTAACATAATATATAATTGTGAATAAATACTAATGTAAAAAAAACTTACTAGTTTGGTTTGCTCAATATTTTAAAAAAGACTACTGCTGAAATTAATCCTATAATAAATGATTGAATATAAATATTTTCTAATAAGAATTTAATCATTCTTTCTAGTTTTATTTTATTTTATTTTTTCTTAAATTACAGTATTATCATATGCCAATTTGGATGTTAATTAAGATTTTATATTCTTAAATAAATTTTAGATTTATTCACACAAAAAACTGAAGTAGAGATTGAAATTGATGAGTTTTGAGCATTGATCAATCACAAACTCTAGATTTTGAGCATTGGTAAAAAATTTTGACTGATGTTTGAATGTTCATTGAGTTTTTAAAAAATACATAAAAGAATTTAGTATAACATGAAATATATCAATTATACCATTATCGCAACATTACTTAATTACAATTTACATAACTTATAATTTGTGTATTATAATTATAAAGCAACCTGTACTATTACTATTACATTATTTAGTATACATTTATGTGACTTATAATTGTGATTTATATTATAAAAACAACTATATATTAATCCTAAAAATCAAGGATAGTAAAATCATTTGTTTTCATATTATGCTTTAGAAATAATCTGCCAAATAACTTTGGCTTTAATAACGTTGTTTTCACACTTATAACATTGCTTGTTGCAGGAATTATATGAAATTTTCAGCTATTTTACTTAAAATCAGAACTTGCTATTTTTTAAAGACTACCACACCATGAGATCTCCTTTTGTTATTATCTTGGTTTTGTAAGCTTGATAAAAAAACAGATTTAGGGTATTCTTAACCACCTTAATTAATGGGTCAAAACATGTTGGTAAATAAATTTTACTTAGCAGAAAATATTTTAAGGAGTCAAATATGTTTATTATTATAATGAATATTTAAATAATCATTATAGTTTAATAAAGTTTATTACATAAATGATAAATTTTTATTAGTAAAAAATATTACGTGAGTTTTATCATTTCAATTTACAAACTTTTTACCACAAACCATCTTTTTTTTATATCTGGTTTGGCAAAATTTACAATTAATTAAGTATCCAAAAAGATTGCACAAGTAACCTTATTATAGATCCAAACTTATAACAACAATGAATTATTATCTTAATCCTTATACTACAAGTTTTTATAAAAAATAAACAATACCAGGAGATACAAAAAATAATTATAGATGCTTGTTATCTTTTAGTCTTTATTCATATAGCAACAAGTTCAACTATTTTGCTAGTAGTTTCTTTATTTGACAGGGTAACTAAATACCAACAAAAACCTAAAACCAGTAGATTCTGGGTTGATGTTTTTCATATTTAAGTGATAATGAGGGTTATAATTCTTTTTGAAAATATTTTCAAATTACTCTTTCAATATTTAATATAATTGTTTTTAGATTAGAAACATATTCTGCATTCAGGTTTGAAGCTTTTAATACAACTTCCGTATAGAAACAAATTGCAATTATTTTATAGTGATTTGCTAATAAAGCAGGTATTCAGGTTTTAGAACAAATGCTTAGAATAAGTCAAGGGTCAGTTAGCCATTTTACAGACTGATTCTTGGATGCATTATTAGATTTGAAACAAGAAAGAATAAAATGGCTACAAGGAACACAATTAACAACAGTTATCCAAGAATTTGAATATAAAATAACTGGTTTAGAAAATAAATTGTCTAATGTAATTGGCGTGATAGATAGTTTATATATACCTATTTATCTATCTACAAATAATAGCTCATATTATATAAATCGTAAAAATTTCTATTCAATCAATCTTTTTGGTATAGTAGAAAGTTAGGAACATTTTATATATACATATATAGGTAAAGCAGGTTAGTCTTTTTTGTTTAAACTTATATACTAAAAGTAATTTAATTTAAAGAAAGTGTGCATGATGCACATTTATTCTATCAATCTTCACTCTATCATGAGATTTTTCATAAATCTGAATGATAGGTTCCTGGGGGTCTTATCTTATTGCTAACCCAGCATATCTCCTTAATCTTATTTAATAAACCTATTTTTGGATCATAAAATATTAACAAATTATGAGCAACAGTTTAATAAGGTTCTTTCTTCAATAAGAATGAATGTTGAAAGAAGATTTGGACTTTTAAAAGAGTGATGATGAATTTTATCAAACAAAATTTACTATACAGATTTAGAATGAATTATTCAAGTGATTTATGCTTGTTGCATTTTATATAATCTTTGCATTGCTAGAATAATTTATAATCACTTGATGATGATGAAATAGATAATAATAGTAGCTTTGAAGACGATATTGTTAATAATAATAATGAAAGCAATGAAATTGTTGATGATGAAAATGAAGCAAACTTTATTACAAATATAAAAAGAGAAAGATTAACAGGTATGCAGAAAAGAAAGTATTTAGCTAATCTTTTAGCTCAAAGTAATTAATATTTTATAACTACTCACAATTATTACCATTATCTATAATTTAAAATGTAATTTTTTAAAATTTCATAAGACATTATTTAAAAATTTCTATCTGCTCATCATGCTGTTTTTGCTGAATCTCACTAGTATGCAAATATTGATGCTTTATGGTTACAACAATTACTTCTGTTTGCTTGTCAATATGTGTTAAAATTTTGTCGATATATTTTTTTTCATTGTCAGATTGGGTGTTTTTTTTTTTTAGAATTAACATTAATCTCAATCTATATTAATTAAACAAAATAATTAAACCAACACATACCAATTTAGAGATTATTTAAAGCCAGGCAGTTTTTAAATTGATTAATAAAATAAAAGTCATGTGATGTATATATAAATTGCTATCTGGCTTTAAATGATCCCAATTTAGGAAAAAATAACAATAACTATTACATTATTGTTAATATCATTTGTATTATTATCATTATTATCAGGTTTACAGTGTTTAATTCCACAGATTGAATCGCTAGTCACATGAGCAGTAATGCTTGGATCATCTTTCAAGTAGGTTTCCACATTATTAAAAAACTTCCACTTATTTTGTATAGCTTCTTCACCTGTATTTTTAATAACATCCTTTATACTTTGATACTTTTGTTGAATGAAATCCCACTTTTGCTGAATCGAGTTTTTTGAACACTCTTTTAAAGTTGAATTTGAAGCAGAAGCTTGAATACTTGAAACAATCTTATCCCAAATACAACCCTTTTCTTTTGCATCTTTTGCTCGCTATAAAGATTTATATTGCTTTTCTACTTCCTCAATTAAGATTCGGGTTTCAGATAAAGACCATCTATTTGTTAATTTATGATTCAGTACTTCAGAAGAAGTAGAACTTATATCCGAAGTTGAGTCATCATTAGAAATTAATTCTGAAGCAGTTTCTGACTTGGCCTTGGATGAACCCGACTTTTCTTGATTAAGATAATTAATTGACAAAGATGATGCCTAAAAAAATTTTTGTCACATTTATGAAATATAATTAC